TGAATGTACATAATGCTGCTAGACCATACACTTTAAAATGCTCAAAATGGTAAATTTTATGCTCTGGCTTTTTTTACCCCAATGAAAATAAATATGTATTCCAGTTCAGAGACACAAGACTAAGGACATCAACTAACACAAAAGGAGAATATTATGCAGGTCAGGGCGGTGGTGTGGCCATGAAGGCCTACCTGGATGGCCCCTCCTCAGAGAGGGGGACTCAGCTGACAGCCGTGAGGACAAGGACTATGTCTTCAGCAGGACCAGCTACGTAATTTGCAGGGCCACCCAAAGCAAAATGAACATGCAGGGGCCCTTGTTCAAAAATGTTTGAGAGGCCGGGCGCGGTGGCTCACGCCTGTAATCCCAGCTCTCTGGGAGGCCGAGGCGGGCGGATTGTTTGAGCTCAGGAGTTCGAAACCAGCCTGAGCAAGAGCGAGACCCCGTCTCTACTAAAAATAGAAAGAAATTAATTGGACAACTAAAAATATATAGAAAAAATTAGCCAAGCATGGTGGCACATGCCTGTAGTCCCAGCTACTCGGGAGGCTGAGGCAGGAGGATCGCTTGAGCCCAGGAGTTTGAGGTTGCTGTGAGCTAAGATGACGCCACGGCACTCTAGCCTGGGCAACACAGTGAGACTCTGTCTCAAAAAAAAAAAACAAAAATGTTTGAGAATTTCAAGAGGGTGACGGCATAGCACTAAACCAAGCACGGGGTCCTTCAGGCCATTCCCCATGAGGCCACCTGCTCAGCAGTGTATGTGAGTCAACTTACCAGACCACAGTACCATGTTATTTAATCAAACGCATGTCTGCGTGTTGCTGCGAAGGTATTTGGTAGGTGCGGTTAACATCTACAATCACCTGACTTCAAGTAGAAGAAATGAGCCGTGGGCCAGGCTCAGTGGCTCACACCTGTAATCCCAGAGCTTGAGAGGCCGAGGTGGGAGGATCGCTCCCACCTGGCCTAGCTTAGCTCTCACCTGGTTTTCTTCCCAGTAAGGCAGGGTTTTTCAGAGATCAAGAAAGGTCCAGACATTTTTATAAAATTATAGAACAGAGTGACCGAAATTTTGGTCTGTTTTCAATTTTTGACACACACAGAGTGAGCTGATACTGTGCTGTCCTCAAGGCTAGTGCGGGACACAGTTTTAAACGCCAATACCTTGCACATGGGGTGGCGACGAG